ATCCCGGCCCGGGAATCGAACGCAGGTCCTTTGCGTGGCAGACCAGCAAGGTAGGTAGCCTTTCGGCCACGAAGGCAGTTGACACATAGATGTAATTCAAAAGAAAGTAAATTGTTATGGTGATGAGAAGAACTGATCAGCAGCTACCTTGTGGTTGGGCACATATTCCGAGGACTTCCATATTATGCATTTCAGCTAAATTTTTATCTAGGAGACCACGGCAACGAATACAGCGAAAGCAGAGGTAACTGTTGAGATAGAACAAATTTCATCAAGGACTGGGCTCTGGGGTACAGTACCGAGAAGGCATCTTTTCCCCGTGGAACGGCCAATTATTCTTTGACGGTCGTGGCTACCAGCTTTCCAGTTTTATTTTTATTTTTAAAGCATTCGTTCATAAAGTATGTGAATCGTTTAATTAACCTACTTCAAAAAAGCAGGAGGTTTCCAATTCGACTGTATTAATGCATGCTACGTCATTCGTGAACCGATTTTGATGATTATTTTTTATAGGAAAGAGGTTACCTCAATATTAGTATCATTTAAATTTAATGAAAATATTCCACCCTTAACAGTGGCAAACTAGGGGATAAATGCGGTTTCGCGCATTTCCAAGAACTTTTCAAGTCAGTTTTTTTAAATAAAGAGTTAAAATTATATAAGTCACTGTTACAATTTATATTATAATACTTTCTCTATAACTTTCTATAATTATGTTTCTTCAAACAAACCAACGTTTCCGTTTCTTTACAAGTTCCATTGCCACGGCTGAGTGAATATCTTTTTTATTGGATGTCTTGGGTCCACTTGTTAGTAAGTAATACAAAAAATAACTTAGACTTAGACTTAGACTTATCGTTAGCAGATACATAATGCAAGTAATGACAAAAACATACGAAACTTTCGAGGTGATGTATAAATATATAAATCGGGCTACACTATTAGTTACAAAAAATTAGAATTATATAACCAAATTTAATTACAGCTGAAATATTATGATGTTCCAAACCCTTAAATAGGTCAAAGACCTGAGTCGTAGTGATTTCAACCTTAGGTCAATGAACTTATAACGCACTTTTAATTGTTTTGAACGTTATTGTTAAAAAAACATTAAGGTAAATGTTTAGATCACAATATCATTGTAGTAAAACATCGTTATATTCAATAAATTTAAATTACAATAATTAAAGCGACATCTCTTGTCAGCCGCTGGTAGGTAGTTGTAAAAGATCTTTCACAGATGGCGGCAAAAATATCGTTAAAATTAACAAAGAAACATCTACAACAACCACCTATAAAAATTGGTAATATCTGCTGGTTCGCTCCGTGCCTCAGTTGGGAGCGTCGGGTTGTCTATTATAATTTCATAAACCATATGATAAAGGCGCTCTTTTTAATTTTGAATCAAAATTGTATTGTCTATGGTACTCTGACACTGAGCAGAAAATTTTCATTAAAGCTCTGTACACAGATCTATAATGAGTTTCAAAAACAGAAGTAGTATTTTTGCTAATTAACCATTGACTTACAATTATATGGACGTCGGGTCGGCGCTAAAAAGTGTCCGCACTTGTAAGGCGCTAAAATCGTATACAGAGCGCCAAACTCCGCTTTAGTCTTCATTTGTTCTACTGACAGCGCGATACTGCGATGACATTACAATTTAAATTTCGAATAGGTTGACTTGGGACATTTTTTTCGTGGTTTTTGTATTAGACCCGTCGTCCATTTATTTGTAAGTCAATGTAATTAACATATCAATTAGGTCGCTACTCAAACGCTATACTGCCTCCTGATGGGTTAAATTGGCCTAAAAATCTTGCAAGCGGACCATAAACCTTCATAAAAAGAAAATGATTGGTTAAAATATATACGGTACTTGGTCACTTCTGTTCTCTCTTTGGTTTTTTCTTTGTTTGGCTACCCTATAATATGGGTATAATAAATAGGTTAAAATTTATTTTTTTAAATTGCATTTGATATCATGGATTGTTAACAAAATATACATTAAATATTGTTTCTGTTTCATTCATCTATTTGCTCGTAGAAAAAGTATTCTATGCATTCATTACATAGTTAGGTTTTAAAATCTCGTACCTTTTACGTAAAAACACGGTACTCGATCTTAACCTATTGCATAAAATACTGTTTTTAGTGTTCAATTTTTGCATTAATAGTTATGACATTAGGTTGTTAGTGTCTATTATATTTATTTAATAAAAATACGCAGCTATCTCAAGCAAACATTTGAAATACGAAACTGATTTCTAACTGCTTGTATATATTTCTAAACTGCAGCGATTTGGCGATTAATTCATTGACGTCAGTTTGAACTCAAGATAACCTTTGCGACAGGGGCACTCATTTCAATACAAGACCAACTAAAGAAGATCAACTAAATGTTTTCCACGACCTTATTTACGTGGAATTAAAGGTTTCTTTACGCCATGTTGGGTGTCACTACGCTAGCTGACTTGGGAGAAAATTCCGGTGGAGCATAAGCGTGTTGGAGTAGACACCAAGGACCAGAAGCATTGGCCAGCAGAAAGCTAGATAAAGGCGGACGATATAGTCAAAATAACAAGAAAAAGAAAAATGGTTTCTTGTGCCTTGGAGCGTGCCATGCTCGGTATCAAGCTTCGGTATAGACCGTGTTCCCGATGTCCAGATTCGAAGTCGAACGTAGGTAAAGGACGTGAGGAACCGCATCACGAACCTAAAGTGGAATTGATCAGGGCACCTGATACGGAGACAAGATGACAATGTAAAATAACTTACATTTATTATTACTAACTTTTGAATTACTCCATAGTGACTATAGTTCAAAATAATTTTAAAAAAAGTCATTGCACAACGAAGAGGTGGAGACTATAAAGGAGCCCTAAGATATAGGGCTCTCCTAATCTAGGTTCTTGTTTTTCACAAATATTAATATGTAGGTAAGCACTAATTTTAACCCTATTATATTACTTTGCAGTCATTCACTCTGGGAGAAAAATAAACACAACTTTTGAAGTTCTTAGATTTTTTCTTTCGTTCTTCGAAATACCACGAGATTTTCTGTGCAGGAAACAACAGCACCCTCAGCTTCAGGCTTATGATTCAAATTCAATTCTACGCAACTTATAATAAGAATGGTCCAAAGTATATTTCTTTTGTGTCTAATGCGTCATATGACAAATTGATGTTGTTATAGGTCACTGGCACAAAATGTAGGTAGGTTGGTACTCATGTACCTAACGATTGTAGTACAATATTGACTTATTTATAAAAGAGGTTAACATACGAAGTCAACATCGCCGACCCAAGTACGTGACACTGCTTGACACGGGTCTCCTGTAAGAAAAGGGTTTCTGCCACAATCCGTCTACTTTTTTAAGGGTGGTGAAAATTTCATCACGACGTTTTCCTTTACCGTTGGCGAGAATTCGAGATTCGAACTGTCGCCGGCCGCTAAATAGAACAACAACCTTTCTCCTACTGACCTACATGATAAAAAAAACAATCATACCTCTCGAATTTTTACGTTTCCGCGAGTGTTATACATAAGAAAAAAAGAAGTGTTTTAGAAATTCGCTTAAGAAAATATATTTTACAAAACATATGTACAAATGTGCTAAGTAATTTAACAATAAGGTATTTAATATAATATATTTTGTAACTATTGTGAAAAATAGAGTGATTTATATTAATATTAGACTCAGGTAAATTGTTTATGAATTAACGACGTCAGTCAACCTTGACCATAGGACCTATAAAGTGTCCGTTGTGTTGTTTGTTTGAAAAAAACAGAATATACGCAATTTAGATCCAAAAAAAACATTCCATTTCCTACAATCATACCTCTCTTTAGGCAAGTCTGTTCAATAATACCAATGCCTTTTGTTATTTGATGAGCAATTTATCACAATGAAAATAATTCTCCAACATAACAGCATGGAACTCATTTAACTTGGCACATAAATTCTAACGCCGTTGTCCAACACCAATTTGGTTGGGATCTTTCAAGTTTTTAAAATGTCAAGGAAGCCTTTTCTCCCTCAGCCCGGGACCTCAATCTTTGTACGCAACGTGAGGTCATGGAAAGGGGTCAACCGACCAATTGTGGGCATCAGCATCGCCGCCAAGATTGCAGCGCGATTGTTTCGCAATGCAGCGGTCGACGCCCGGACGCGTTTCCTTATTAGAGTCCCTTAAGATCTCTGAGAACACGCGACCAGCTGGCACATTGGTTAAGCTTACTGGAATTACGTGAGTGATACAAGGTTTGCTTTCCGGTAGAAACTATTCCAGTAAAAGCTGCGTTTAGATACTTAGAGTAGCGCTCTACTATATTTAATTGCGTTATTGTTGTATAACGCTACGTGTACAGTAGCATCTCTACAAAGTATGAATGTGTTTATTGCAGATGTCATTTAGGTAAACGATTAACAAGATACTTCAATTCTATACTTTAAATCATAGTTGTCCCTATCGCCCCCAACGGGCGCTAAAGATCCTACGATAAGGGCCTTGGAAGCAATCGGGGGACGTTGATGCTGTCCAGGGGTGCTACAGCATTTGAAAAAAAAACTTGATATCTGTTTGAATTCCATTCCTGGGTAGTGCGCATATAAAGGATAACGAAAAGCTGTTAGGTGCTGTTATAAGCTGTTAGGTAATAAGTAATACAGTATTGAAAAAGAACTTAGTACTAAAATCTTTAGAATTCCTAGGGTTATAAGCACTTTGTATAATAATTTGTTCAACATCTCGTATTCACATTAATCGGAAATCCTAATGACCGTGATCTAAATCAGATATATTTTACCTCAAGAACTTTGAATGTAGAGTTTGAAGCATTACACACAAGCATTACATTATATACAGCTATATAAGTATATATAATTTTTTCCTTGTGATTGTGATAGTCTATGCTACGTGTATGTAATTTTTTTCTTTTTTTTTGTTTTAAACCGAAGAAGGGTTTTAATAACGTAAATTAAATAACTAAAACTTACTTGACATTTTCCTGCTCGGAGTGGATCTCGTTGACGTCATCAGTCGGGTTGTCGCCATCGCTGAACCCTGACGCTGAGCTCTGATGGTGCTCAGGAATCTGCAAAAAAAACACAAATATTATTATTATTTTTTACTTTGCAATCATCTAACATTTATTTTTAACCCACTTCAAAAAAGGAGGCTCTCAGTTCGACGACATGTTTTTTTTTTATGTTGATGTTTACACGATTACCCCGTCATTTGTGGACTGATTTCGATGATTCTTTTTTGTTCAAAAGTGGGTACCTCGGTATTGGTCGCAATTAAATTTGAAGGAAATGTCCACCTCTAAGATGAATCCGGTTTTTTTGGATTTCACTTTCCGTTAATCGATTTCAACAAAAGTTGGCAAATAGATTTCACAATATTTTGAGGTCGGTTATTTATTATAAAAAAGTCATAACCTATATTCAGAATATTTCGTAGGTTATTGCCCACATTTAAACCTATGTAATGACCGTACTTTAAAATCATTTAACTTAACCCCTTAACTAATATTAAAAGATATTATATCAACGGACAATTTCTTTAGTTACTTTTATTTTAGGAAATTATTTTAAATTAAAATTTCTTTGTTTTAGTAGTCGTGTAAAATGGCTATATATATCGTCCCTGGCCAGCAGATTAAGCTCCGCTGCATACGCAGTC